GTTGCTGCTTACTGCGCAGTTAGCAGAGCGCAGGCTTATGCGTGCGTGTGGATGTATGTGTATGTATGTGTGCATAAAAATGCAGAATGATTAGAATATCAGCTTAGAGGGTTCAGGGTATCTCCTAGTCGAGCAGTCTCGACTAGAGCCTTGTTTAATTTTTTACTATAAAAATTATAATCGTTACGGTCCCTGGAATATAAAGTTCGAATTAGAGGGTATACAAACTTCTGTTTTCTAGTATATCCAATAAGATAGCGGTTAAGTCGCTTCCTTTCCCTTTTAGCCTATTCCAAATATGTCTTTTGTTACCTTACCACGATATTTGTCAAGTTTTGCTTATGTACATATAGCTTACACGATTCTGTTGCAGCTGACGTTAAGCCTTTGCTAACTAACCCTGAAAAATAGTTGCGTAGCGCTTGTCTCCTCTTCATAAGAATCTGCGCACTTCACTCCAATGAAACAAGAAATGAGCCTATTCGAAGTATTGTGAGTATTTAAATAGAATTTCGATTAGCCAATTATTTGATTTGCATGCGTTCAAACGTAGCTAGATTGCACGAGTTGAAATTCTGAAAAACAGATCGAATATTATAACTCTATACATATATAAAGTATTTGAATGATAGCCCCGATATTCCTATGCCAATCAGCAACCTACAGAACTTTCATATCGCTGTTTTTGGTGGTGCTTGTTTGGGGCCCCCCCTACAAAATGTTTTGCTATTTTCATGGACACCAAAATATTATTGCTCGAATGTTCATTTTATCTTTCAAGTGTGGAATCTATAATGGGATGTTAAGACCATACAGGGTTAACATGTCTAATGTCAACCGTGAGCTGACACTTTTATAGCTGTGAAATGTGTAAAGAATTGTTGTATATAAAGAAGTAATTGCATTTTGCTGTTAGGCAATAACGAGATTTTTTGTAACATTGATGTTGAATTTAACGTTTGTATGTAAGCTCAACATACTGAAAAGGATGTGGACGTAATAATATCTATATAAATAATATAAGTATTATTTTATATAAACATATACATAAATATATATAAATATAATAAATGCAGTGAGTAACATTGATATTCGGTTTATTTTTTTATTTTTCAACTTTTTATCCGGTTTATGTATAATCTTTGTTATATCAAATATATTGATATATACCTCATCGGAAAGGCTATTTTTTAATCTACAATTTGGCATTTATACTTTTTTAATTTCAATTAATTTTATATGTTTTATAGGCGTTTGAAGTTGAAAATAAAATAAAAAACAATGTAAATAAATATGTCAGTATGCCGTATTCGGCTGTTATTTGAAGGTGGTTGATAAAGTTTTTACCAATCTTATCAACAGTTTATTGGTTTGCTGAATCACCTATGCAATATATGGGTAAGATTATTAGAATTCCCTGGCTAACGATTCGTCATGTGGGCTAACAAAAATTATTTAAAAAAAAAACTGCCTAAAATCGGTTTATGTACATATTCCAGCCATCCAGCAACGTCAGAGTTTGCCTCTAAACCCTAGACTGTTCATTCTTATCAGTTGGCTTTACAAATAACATATGTTCCCTCTCAATGTTTGGCTGATATGGTTATGGACAGTCGCAAGTGTTTATGCTCAATTAAACCAATTTGAAGGTAAATTGAAAACAGAAAACCAAAAATATATGTGCAACAGCTGGTAATAGGCATCACTTAGCGTTCCGTCAATTTGAGCTTATTCCATCTGTTCGGCAATTTATTTGCATCTTCTTGACAGGCCAGTAAACACCTTTGTTTTGTTTACACCTGAGCTGTTCTTTTAATGAACACTAATAGTAGCTAACTGGCAATTAATTGAGTCGAGGTGTGCATATTTCAAGTATAGCGAGAGAGTTTTTTTATTTTATTTTAGGTACAGCATTTAAATCGTGTTTGTAATTTAACTGTTATTTATTGAGGGTCTTGTGAAATAGTTGAGGATCCAACAGAGCATAGGTATAAAAAATGTATACATATAAATCAAAAGCAGAATTAATAAATGAAACAAAGATAAATAAAGTGAGACAGGGAGATAAGAAAAGAGAGTGCCAGCAAGTGCATTAGAGCTAGACCCGTGGCAGCAAAGATAAGGTCCATGAGCTTGTCAACAGACCTTGCTGATAAAATGGTATATATTTAAAAGTATCTATAAATAAATAGTAAATATGCGGAGAATTAAGTGTGAATTGAAATGAAAGATAGTTCAGGTGCACAGGTCCAAAAAATAAATAAGAATTAAAACAAAGTCAAAGATTAGAGAACGATCTTTGACTAAGTGAGATAAAAACAAAATACACGGTTCAAAATTATTTTGTGTGTTAAAATATGATCTAATTTTAGGTCACATAAAAACATACATATATCGAGACATACTTTCTAAGATGAGCAAACAGTGCTAAGTCGACCCAGATGTTAATCTTGATAGTGAATATATGTAAATATATAAACTTTATGGGATGGGAGGTATGGCATTCGAATGTTATAAACATACACTCTGAACGCTCCTTAAAACAGCTCACTGATACATATAAATTTAATGAAATGGAGAATTTAGAGTAGGTACATAAGTAAATCCTGAAGGCCTACCTAAATTTAAAAACAAATAAATCAAATAAATAAAAAATGAATTAAGCTGTTGTAAACCATAAAAAATTTAATTTAAATTTAATTTTTTAGTGAAGTGAATCACATTCAAATAACATATTCTATTATATAGATAAAGGAAATGTAAGAAAACATATAAATTGTAATATTAAAATAATTTTAAAATACTTATTTTTTAATATTAATAATAGGCTAACGTTTGAACTCTTTTTCCGATGTTTAAGCAATGAACACAATTAAGGCTCAATAATACATATATGTAGATATAGATTTCAGTTGTCGCACTGAGATTTTTATTAAAATTTTAAAGTTACGTATATAATATACGTATATCACCTTTATTTGGGGTCGCACTTGTGGGCGTATTTGAGTACGCCCTGTACACTGAACCTAGCCTTCCATTTTGTAAATGTAGTATATACAATATTTAGATATCTAAGTGACAAATTTCTATTGGCTGCGTGTTGTCACTGCCCAAAAGCTTCAACTAATTTAATTTTTAATCACTAATTGTCTGCAGTCGTGTGCTATGAATTTTTAGGGTTACGCTAATTTTGAAATGAATGGAAATCAATTCGCAATGCTGAAGAAACGTGCACACTTCATGCTTTTCAAGTTGTGGTATCGTGACAAGATCCATACATTTTTATATATATACATATAGTTATATGTATATCTGTTTGCACTATCAGCATGTGTAAATATTGAAGAGCTCTCACGATCGTACGTTCAACTGTAGACCCTGATCGTCACAACCCCTCTCAATCACAGAAAACCAGTCTATTGTAACTTGCCTGCGAGCGCCACAAACTAGTTTTCGCATTGATTGTTTCGCTTTTGATTTTGAAAACTCTCTTCTGCCTTATGGAGAAGAGAAACAATCGCTGAAATATGAACAATCGTTGAAAGCAGCTCTTGCTTTTATTATATCTTAAATTGGTTAAAAATCGCAAAACATTTCTTCAGTATATACAAAAAACAAAACAGGGCTAAGCACTTTAGTAGTATTAGCAGCAGATGTAAATAATTATATAGCTGGATATAAAAATGTAGTTAGCACAATCGTTAAATTCTGATACACTTATAAATGGATTAAACAGTTGTTAAATTAAAATTGTTGTTCGTGCTACCCTCACAGTTTGATATAGCCTACAGCAATGCAGCATGTTGTATATATATATATATATATATATATATATATATATATATATACAATAATTACTCACAATTTTTGGCAATTATTTGCCATAATTTATTATAAAAGCGGCAAACGCCCGCTCGATTTTAATTGAGGCCTGAGCAAAGAAGAGAGCCAAAAAAAAAAATGTCTCAAATATGTAGACAGACATGGACAGTTATCTTTATATCTCATTGCATGTGTGTCTGTATTTATATATGTATACAACTTGTACCGCCTGCTGATCCAACGCTTAAATTTATTTCAATTTTATTTCAACAGCCAAATGTTTTTTGTTTACAGAAGTGACGCGCCTTTAATAAGCGATGTGGGCATATATATATGTAACATATATGTATATATATTTGCATATGCACATCTACACATGCACACATGTGTTTGTATTCAACGTTAATTAATTGTTTTTGAACTATTGTGAAACATACTTTTTCATAGGCTTTCTTACTCGCATATGTGTGTTCTTTTGCACTGCTTGCCATGACGTATACGCAGCGTGCTCTTTAGTGAGCACTGCTTGACAGCGTAGTAAATATCAATCGCTGTTAAAGTTAATGCCGTTAACAGTGCCAATCAGAGATGAGCATGTGTTAACAGAATAATAACAGTGTGAAAAATGCTTAAAGCAAATGGAAGTTTTTGGAAGTGGAAAAAAGAGTTTTTAAGAGTTTTTTAAATAGATATATAAACAATAATAATTAATTAATAATACATATTATATATATATATATATAAAGTACAAATTATATTTAAATATAATTTAAATTAAAGTAGTATTGGAACTATACACTGAGCTTTGTCTTAAACAATTTCTGAAACTTATTCTATATAGAAATATAATATTATTATTAAAAATATTAATATAAATATTAAAAAATAAATAATGAAAACAGAAAATACTTATTATAATAATGATTAATGTATTATAAAATAATACGTAGATACATTAGTCTATGAAATGTAAAATTCAAAGTTCATATTTGCCTTAATGAATGTGCATGAGTAAGCCTATTTACATAATATATTTATACAGCGCGAGTTGCAGCGCAGTTAACAGAGTGCTTGTTGCAGCGCTACGCACAGCTGGGCATGAGAGATACTTGTTCGTTAACAGTCTGGATCGCAACAGGTTCTCTCGCTCTCCCTGTTGTGTCTTTTGATTTAGTATAGCCAGAGTCGGCGTCGCGTTATGATCAGCTCCAGTGCGTTGGCACGCGTTATCTAACTACGGCACAAACACAAACCGAATCGACAAGCAAACAAACTCATAAATAGTATACACAGTGCCGACAGTATCTATAGAAAACACATATACATATATGTACATATAAAATATCAGAAATAATAAAAACAAAAGTAGTTGTATCTGTGCTCGCGTGTGTGTGTATTTGTGGGTGTGTGAGTGTGCGTGCGTGCTCACTATTTTCGAATTTTGGGCTTCTTGTAATGTGAAAAGACAGCTAAATAATAGGCGCAACAGTCTAGTTAAAATGTCAGGGACGCTGCAAGCGGCTCTATATATCTATTTGTTGAGTACTACGAGTCTTATTATGAGTTGAGCAGCAATTGACACATGGTCAAAAATGCATTACACGGTGGGTGTTACCTTTATTTCTCTTTCCCTCAATCTCTCTCTGCCGATCTCTTTCTGTCTGTTTTTTTCTTTATAGTTGTTCGCTACTCTGGTCTTATAATCATATTCGCCCTTTGGCCTCGCATTGGGGTCTATTTAACGAGCAATATATGTAAATATTTCCGGTCTAATAAGCAGGTTAACCATAGGCCAGTGGCGGCCCCTTATTACAGGGTATACAGTTGCTAAAAGAAAAAAGCCTTTTGCAATTGAAACAGTTGCTGTGCCTTGTCTTTCGCTCGTTTCGTTTATCTTATCGCTAGTCGGCTATACTAAAGTTCTTCTAGAAAGCAAAAGCAAACGCAAATAAAAAAAAATATAAAAAATTCTAGCCTTTTTTAAAAGGTTTCAAAAGTGTTGCAAAATAGAAAAAATAATAATGAAAATATACAAAGGAAATTCAGTGCATTGGGCGAGATTTTGACATAGCGCGTTTTTTATTGAAATAAATTGTGTTACATTTATATAGAACAACAAAAATTGTGTAAAGTATTTGGATATTTCCTCTCTGATTGCGGCTTAGCATTGGGCAAGATATTAGCGTAAATAATTCTCTTTTATATATGTCAGACTTGATTGGAGTAAACAGTATTACATTCATATACAAAAAGTATAATATTAATGAAAAATAAAGTAAGAAAAATGAAAATAGAGTAAAATATATTATTATATTTACAATCACATGACATTCATTTATGAAGGGCTAAAAAAAAAAGTGCAGTCTTATCTAAACCCAAATCATTTTGTTTAATCATTAATATGTCTATCTAATCTTTCATATATCATATATATTTATTTTCTTTTATTTTTATATATATTATATAAAAAAGAAAGAACCGACTTCTACCATAGACATACGCCTCTCCAAATTCTGCAAGTAGCCTTTTTAAGTACTTTGAGTACTTTAACCGTTTCCCCTATGGCCAAAAGAGGAAATTGCCGGCCATTAAACGAGCATTAGCATTAGGTAAGACCTGTGGCTGGACGACACACGTACTCTTCCAGCAGCGAGTGCTTATCAGTGAAAAGTAATAGAAAGAGGCAATGTGCAAGGAAACGCTCTAGCGTATCGCAAAGGCAATAACAATATAAACAATAATAATAATTACAATTATACTTAATTGAAATTAAGCGCGTGACATGCTTAACTCATCTGCGGCTCAGGCTTAGCCCTTTTTGCTGATGCTTGCGATTCGGACACGTCTCATGCATTTCAATTGGCCAATATTGAGTGTGTATGTGTGTATATATGTGTGTGTGGAAGAACGTACTGAATTGATTGGCCAGTTGATTGTTTGTTGTTCTTTTGTTTGTCGTCCGCTGTCAATTCCAGTTGTGGCTGTCAACGACGACATTTATATCGATCCACATATATATATATATATATGTATGTATATATACATATATAAGTCTCACCCTCTATTCAATTTGTTTGCACATATTTTGATGGATGGGCCTGGGGCAATCGTTGCACTGCTAATACTACTAAGCCACAAGTAAGACACTCGCCGTCTGGCCTTTCGCGGCCCTCGTTGATGGATGTTATGCAGTCGGCGTTGCGACCCACAAGATTCGTGCACTCACTCAAGTTCCCATCAAGAGGGGTACTCAGTTTAGCACGAGTTGAATATGGTTTAAAATAGTTGTAGATCGTAGATTTATAGGTAGAGTGTAGAGAAAAGTGGGAAATCTTAAAAGAACATTCGCTTCTCTTTATATTAAAGTAAAATCTATAAATGGTGTATATAATATCGTATATATTCGTCTATATTCATATCTTGAACTATTTATTTATGAAAACTAAATTGAGCGAATATACAGATGAATGAATTACTTTCAATAAATGTCGGCAAACTTTGAATTTTATTCGAAACAAATGGAAAAAATACATATGTGTATATATTTAATTAATAAACATTAATTTTAGCGTTACGTGTTGTTAATGCAAAAATAATAAATATATAATAATAAATATATCAACTATACATATTTATTATTTGTATTTTATTTTATATGGAACATTTTGCTTTGAATAAATTTAAATACTGTTTGTGTTGGTAATTGACATTAATATTGAAAAGTATAGTAAGAAACAACGTTGAGGAACAAATTATTAAAAAAAAACCTCATTTCTATATTCCTAAAATTTAAATAGCTTTGCTTAAGTACAATAATTGATTGATTTATGACCTATAAGAACGTTTGACAAATAAAGCTATAAATTATTAAGCAAGTTTATCTATTTTACTTAAACCTATCAAACATGTTTCAAGCTAAATATCTAGCATTATTTAAGATAATTTCGAGAGACAACAAAAATTTGAAAAATAAAATGAATAGGTATATATTTATAGCTACAATTTCAGCACGAAACACTAAATCTATGAACAAAAGAAATTGTTCTACATGTTGTTAAGCAAATTGTATTTGTTTTAAATAATTGAATTTTGGTAGCTTAAATTTGAACACTAGACTAAAAATATGAATGAAATCTATTTTATTTAAATAGGTAAAAATTAAAATCTAAAATATTAATTCTCGCATAAATAAGTGAATTTACTTTGGAAACGCCCAGAGACAAAGCTATATATATATTTTATTATGCATTTGCCAAGAATTCAGAAACATAAAAATGTATATATTGATGTGTGTATAACGTTTATGAGTTTGTATGCTAGTTTTCGATGGAAAAGCTTTTGGTTTGCCACTCGAATACCCCTAAGTCGGCGTCTATTTGCGCTGTGTCTGCTACACAGAGAAAGAACGAGAGAGCGAGAGAGAGAGAGAGAGAGGAAGATATACTATATATATTTGCATTTGTTTTTAGCGACCCCAGACGAGACCCAAATGTTTATTCAAATGACAAAAGGGTGTTTGTCAATGTTGATATTGTTGTTGTTGTTGTTGCACTCATTGTTGTTGTTCGCTTTGTATTGGTTTTTTCGTTTGGCAGCCTTGATCAATTATTAATTAACTTGTCAAATAATATGCCATAGTGTTAATATCTTGTTTCTCTTCTTTTGAATTCGATTTGCAGCTAATTTAATATAGAATGTTACCCAGCCTGCACACCTTGATGCGTTGCTCGAAGCGTGCGCTGCAGTCGCCGCTGGATGCGGTCAAGATGCACAGCTCCACGGGCCACAGCAAGGCGCCCGGCGTCGGCATATATGGTCCCTTTACGCCGGCGAACGATCTGAGCTGCTCGGGCCGAGGCGATTGCGTGAACAACACCTGCGTCTGTGACATACGCTATGCGGGCGATGAGTGCGACTTCTTTAATCTGTCCTACTATGCGGGCATCTCCACCGTCTTCTATGTGGTGGCTCTGGTCTCGGTCATTCAGCTGCTCATCTGCATTGTCGCCGAGTATCAGCGGCTCAAGCAGCCGTCGATTCTGCGCGCCTGCCGCATCACCACTCAAAAGTTGCTCTACTTTATGGTCTTTGTGGCTTCTTCGCTACGCGGCGCCTACTTTACCACACCTGTAAGTAACACAATCAATTATTGTTTAATGTTCACATTGTTTAATTAATTTATTATTCTGTGCACAGCTGGATCTGCAGCCCCAGTGGGCAGTCACCCTGATGTCCGCTTATTATCCGCTGCTGATGACCTGCGCCTCTCTCATCGTCTGCATGTGGGCCGAGGTGAGTCAAGTCGAGGTTTTGTCAATGAGTTGATGAAGCGATCAAGCAAGAGAGCGAATAATATGCGATCAATCCGAAGAAATCAATCAAGATGTTTTAAAAAGACTTTTTTATAATAGTAATAATAATATTTTTGGAAATCACGCTTTATATATTTTAATATATAGGAATATTATATTCCAAAATTATTGTCTTATATTTTTGTTAACCTTTTCAAAAAACGTTTATTAAATATTTTTCGATTTAAATTGAATAGCTAAATATGCTTTAAAAAATTGATTTTGGAGAAGACTGTGTTATTTCTCGTTTAAAGTTTATAAACGAGTTTATAAAATATCTTTGATTTTAAATGATTACTAAGTATGCTGTTAAGAATATATAAATATAAAGGATTGATTTCCAACAAGATCTTTGATCTTAGCTAATTAGCTGAATATGTTATATTTACAAAAAATTATACATGAATATTTAAAAAGATTGATTTACAAACTTTATAACTTTTTTGATCAATTATAATTAAATTTTCAAGTCTCCGACTTAGTTTTAATTTTATAGAACATGATAATAAGAATGTTTTATCTATGCAGAAAACAAGATTATCATACATAAAGTATTTATATTTGCTTTTAGCAAATAATCTTTACATTTTCTACCCGTTTAAAACAGGATTTAGATTCATTCAAGTTGAGAATTATTCAGAATTTTCCCTTCAATCAATGCTATGACAATTAAAATATATAAAACTTAATTAAATATATGCAACATTTTTTCAAATGCAAATCGTTAGAGCATTTAAATTAGGTAAATAAATCAGATTCACCTACTTTTTCCAAGCTCACGGTTTCCTATCAGATATTTCTCTTAATTATTATATGATCGGACTCGTATATGAATAAACTTGATATTTGTTTTAAGTCACACACAAATTCTTAGCGAGTATATAGGTTTGCTATATTTATGATATATGATATATGTTCACCCTCCAAATCAACGCTCTTCTATAGCCTACTTCGTAGTTTCTAGAAAAATATTCCAAGCACTGTTTTTAACACCAAATGAATTTCACTCCTAAATCCTATATGTCTTAATAGCAGCTAATTAGCTTAACAAATAAATTATACAGAAGCTTAACAGACTTTATATATAGAGTTTTGTAGACTTTGCCAACGAACTAAGCCATAATCTAAGCATTGATACGCATAAACACGCTAAACTTAGTGAGATATTGCCATAATTGTAGAGCCTTCAAGACTGCCGATAAAACGAAAAAAGAGCTTTTGCATTAGCAAAATATGTACTCGCGACTCTTTCTACCTAATCTTGAAATAATTAACTATGAGCGTCACAATTGGAATGAGAAAATGTTTAGCTATCATGTGAGCATTGTTTACCAAAATGGATCCAATCTTATCTGAATTTGAACTCGCAGTCGTCCCCGCTGAAAGCCAAAGCTACAAAGTGGTTCTCGCGCTCATGCCGCTTGCCATCAGAAACAATCTCAAGTGAAACAATTATTTGAGTGCGAGTGTACTCGAAGTTTTCCCTATGCACAATTACAATTGTTTTTTCAACGCTTCGCCATATCGCAATGATAGGCAACCGCAATTTATCGCGACCATTAATTAAACTTAGGTGGGAACGTTTGAAAGTCGCGTTCATGCGCACTTGCCAGCTTATTTACCATACATATAAGTATGTATCGAATAAGCTACAATATACATACATACATATATTTTTTCATTCTTACTCTTGTTTCTTTTTAGATATTTCACTTGCGCGACATACGCTGGGAGAAGTCGCAGTTTCTGTCGAAGAGCTTCCTAGGCTTTGTCGCCTTCAACTTCTTTCTGTACAGCCTATTTGGCATTGAGGTATTCAGTTCGCTGATAAATTCGGAACGTCGCGATTATGCGCACATCTTCAATGGCTGTTATGCTGTGCTCCTGCTGATTGTGGTTATCTTCTTTCTGATTTACGGTGTGGAGGTGTTCTTTAAGCTACGTGGCGGTTTTGTCTACGACCAGACGGGCAAAATACTTGGACCCAGTGAGGCAATCGTGAACGCCTCGCAGCTCCATCAGTCGCGTCTTGGGCTGCTCAGCCAGGCCATAATGCTGATTGTGATTGTTGGATTTCTTACTTCCGAAACGCTAGGTGACTTATGGAAGGGCAAGTAAGTAGTGCGATTTCAATTTCAAAGTGATCATAACTCTAGTGATCTGTTCGTCCTCTGGTGTATAGAGTGCCCGTGAATTCGCGAAACTGGTATGATATCATCTTTCGTATTGCCGAAATAGGCGTCGCTTTGTGGTTTCCCTGCTGCCTGTGGAACTCTATGGCACCCGAACAGCTCTGGATACTGAATCCACGCAAGCTGCTGTCCCGTCAAATCGATCCATCGATACCCACGCTCGATGCCGACAGCAATAAATTGTCGCCCGAAGAGGGGCAGACGTTCCTGAGCAAAAAGGACTGCTGGATATGCTATGACAGCGATAAACCTGAACCGCTCATTCAGCCCTGCCGCTGCACTGGCGATGTCAGCTCTGTGCACCACGAGTGCCTCAAACGTTGGCTAGTCGAGAGCTGTGGCAGCAACAACGAGGCGCAGCTGGCCTGCAAGGTTTGCTCACATCCCTACGAAATCGAGAAATCGAAAAAGTAAGTAGACTCAATTAGAGCATTTCACGGGCTCCACTTCTAACATAACTCCATCCTGCAGACTCGAGTGGGACAAGGGATTTACCATACAGCATTGGATGAAGACCGTCATATTGATCACGCTAATGTGTGTGACGGGTGCCACAGCCTGGGCCATCATACAAATGTATGTGGATCCGCTGGTGCGTGTCCTCACCGTTGGCGTCGCTGTGCTCATTGGCTATGTGTGTGTCAAGTGTCTGGGCGAGAATACGGTGGTGGCCTACCAACGTGCCAAGGTTAGCTCCATCAACATTGTGACTAGCTCCGAGATGGAGAAACTGCATACCATATGCGAGGATGTCAGTTCAGCTAGCACCTCAGCGGCGGCAGCTGCATCACAGGCCGCCTCCTAAAACGCAAGTCGGCAGTTGAAGTCTATGCCATAAGGAAACATCACACCCATACACAAATGCCAATGCAAATGCAAACAAGGCATATGCTTACATACACATATACATATATATGTATTTAAGTGCGTATACACAGACAGACGAGAGACACGACACGAACGATATAGTTTATTAGATTTAGCGCCCTTTTTGCACACATTTTTGCTCAAGGCCCCCTCCAGAAAACAAAACTCTTCCCCGCAAACTGTGTACATAAGTTTTAAGTCATTTAGTATGTAGGATAATGTTTCGAAACAAAGAAACAAAAAGCAAAACAAAAAAATCGAGTCAATTTTGTCACTCAAAATAACACGCATTATTCCAAACGGTACATGTATTGAAACAAAACAAAACAACTGAGAAAATCAAGCCAAATATTATATAATCTGTGTACCACATACATAAGCCAGTATCAATTATCTTACACAAATTACGGAGAACGTTATGAGATTATGATTACGATAGCATACACACACACAGACACACACATATACATACATACGTTGCCAAGTAGTTGGGGAAGTTTTTCAATTGATAAAGAGAAAAATTTGAAATGTGTAGAGTTAACAAAGGCACCAGTCAATGTCAGTCTAGCTGAGCATGTTTGTAGTTTGTAGCATATATATTTACATATACATACATATATATATATATATATATATAGAAACACGTTAAGATCTTAAATTGTGAGCGTATGCAACGCATGCGTCTCTCCATACAGCACAGTTAAGTTTATTTGGCGAATATTAATTTAGGATCAAACACAAACACACATACCTATTATACATATATATTTTTAATTTTTTTTTTTTTCGTGTAATTTGTATTCAATGCGAATACAGTTCGCAGTACACCTTAAGCCTATACTTAACGAACCTAATTTATAAACAGTTTATTCAATTATTTATATAAAAACCGCGCCCACATTTCAATTATGTTTATGGAAGCAATTTTTTTTTTTGCTATTCAAACATAGTTTCCACAAATTCAACACAACATATTTACACATTAAGCTAATATACATTTTTGTGATAAACCAGTTAAAATATAAATTAAAACATTTATATCAAATAAAATGCATATTTTTAATTGATGGGGGAGCATGAATATTGAATTCTCCAAACGGGTAAATGTAAGGCTGCAGCTAACTAACAGACTGCAAATAAAACTGTTAAGCTACAGCTACAGCTCATGTAAAGAGCAGACACCTAGTGCAAGGCTGTTAGGCTACAGTTGCAGGACATGACACGCTGTAAGATGAACTGTTAAGCTGATGCTGCATCTGCAACTGAAATAACATTTTATGTTAAATGCAAACTTTGACTCGAATAAACAGTGTTAAAGCACAGCTTCACTGTAAGGCTTATGCGCCACTTTTTGACAGCTGTTAAGTTGCAAGTACAGCCAAACGAGCTATCTTGCTGTAAAGTAGACTATGAAGCTCATGTCAATCGGCGTTTGCATAGAAAAATGTTGGACGTAAGTTCTGTAAGCTCATGTAAACATTGTTGCCAATATAGCCCTTCATTAAAATCGAGTCAATCCGAATAAACTATATGTGGTTGTTTGCCTATGTATTTACTCCTATGTCTGTCTGTCTCTCTATCTGACTACAGAAAATCATTTAATTTAGCTATATATATATATGTATTCATTTGGTATTTATATTTGAGTAAAACGAAGCTAGAATGCTTGCAGTAGCAGAGAGGTTCCATTGGTCACTTACAGCTCGGCTGCAACGAACCCTACCTGCCGCCGAGCTCAACAGTTGAGCGTGACTTAGGCTTTGACTGATGGTCGCTCAATATAAAGGGCAGCATTTCCTCAGTCGACCAGGCCTGGTGGGGGTCTGTCGTGCAGTGCAGTAAAGTGAAGTGAAGTATGTAGAAAAATTAAATGATCGATCGTTCAGCTAAACATTAATGACAGAGAAAATATTTGGAGGAAAAACACTTAGAAATTCTTAGAGGGAAAACTTGGAAGAAACACGTAGAAGGAAACAATTATTGGAAATATTTAGAGGAAATACATATAAGAAATAATTAAAGGAAATAAGAAATAAGAGGAAATACTTAGAAAAAAAACACAAAAAACTTAGAAGAAAAGCAATCTTGGAGGACCTAGAGGAAACACTTAAAATATATAATTTAGATGGATCATAGGAAACAATTACTGGAAAAACTGAGAGGAAATACATAGAGGATGAGGAAACACTTACAGCAAAAACTTTGGAAATATCAAATCAAGTAAATAAAAGGTCAGCACATAGGTCCATAACTGTGTTTACATATTGTGTCAAATTATGTTTGATGTTATTATAAGCAAAAAAACAAGGTTGTTACTCTTCATGTTTCCTAGCTCGCTATTCCAATTCAACTTATTTCGGCATTCAACAGGTGGCAATCACGGGTAAGCAATTTTAAAATGCAGGTGAAGCAATAGTTCGCCAATCAGTTGCTCGATGCCTGCAAATATATGCCTTTTGCTGATACTCTGAGAAAAAAGGCAGAGTCAAAAACATTTACTGCGACTCACCAGATAGTTGTCTATATTCCACATGCAGGATATAGTATCCAGTTAAAAAACTCTTTTGTTGTCTTTAAGTCTAGTGTTATACATTTATTTTACACGGTTTATCTAGAAAATGTATAATTATTATATTGTGTATTTGCTTAGATAATATGCATAATTAAAGACAAGTCGAGCTTTAATATAATTTCATCTATTGTATACAATCGCAATCGTATCTAAATACATTTCAAGATCGATAATGTTAAGATTTCATTAATATTATTAATATAAAGAGGAAAATAAGTAAACTGAACTAAAATTCACACAGTCCTTTCAACCTGGCACACACAGTTTAATGCCAAAAATTCAATTTAAAGATCACATTACTAGCTAATATTTTATATATAGGATATATTTATATATGCTAAATCAACTAAAATCTAGAAGCTAAATATCATTTATTTTGTTGATTGCTAATAACTATATGAATTTAGTCACGAATTATAACTTGGCCATAATTGGCGTAATTTGGAGCGACTGATGTTGCGTTTGTTTTTGTTTTTGTCAGTATGCTAAGCCGTCTTATCAACTACGTGAAACAATTCAACTAATGGGAGGCGAGAGTCCAGGGTCGGCTAATGATGAGTGCTTGTGCCTATAAATTGTAGATATATGTATATGGTAGATGTTGCTAGATGTATTGCTGAAGTCTTGGGGGCAGTGTAGCATGTGCTCATTGAACGACAGCCGAGCGCTTATCACGATTCTTGCCACGCGTTATGGAACGTGCCTTGAAAGCGGCAGCATTCACCAGATGCTGCAAGAGACAAAGAATTTATATTATAGCAAACCAGAGCAAATCCGATTTCATTTTAGACTTACGCGCTCGAGCTTGGACTGCTTGACTTTGGCGTTGCCATTGATGCCCACATTGTTGGGTCGTGGGCCCAGTTGGAAAATATCGCGTATGAATTCGTTCTCCTGCAGATGGGAGGTCATGCCGGGGCCCATAACGGCGCACAGGGCTGAGTACTGATGATGTATGGACCAGGCATCCAAGGTGAGAGAATCATGTCCGAAGCGAATGCTGATCTCAGGCGAAATATCCTCCTGTAGAATAACAAATTGAAATTTTTAGTAAGCGTCGAGAGAATTTTCAGTTGAGAAATTTTTAGGTCTTAGAAAAATTCCCCCTAAAATTACTAAACCTTGTTTTACTTTTTCTTAGGGAACACTAAATTCCAAAATCAGAAAAAAAATTTTAAAAACTTTGAAAATTGAAAAAAAAAATAATAATTCTTTTATCAGGCCTTCAAGATGATGATCTCGACATATCAGCATGACTATGTGCCACCAAATTCAAAGCGGTACGAGTTTATGAGCCACCTCAAGGCCAACGATGGTCTGGGTGGGGGAAAGATTGTGGAATGTGAATGCATAGCGGAGGACAAGATTAAGGCACATCCGGATGCAGTCAAGAATTGTGCGGGTGTCGAGTGGACGGGGATAGCGCCAATGGGGCGGTTGATCAATCCACGTTTGATACCCACGGAATTGCCGCAGGATCAAATCGATCAGATGGCAATGTCGCCGGAATCCGATTGCCTGAAACTGCAGCCGAATCGGTTCCTGAAAATCTTACGCAATGTCTACCCAGATTTGTACGAGCGCCTGAAGTTGATGCCCAAGGGAGAATTGGGACGCAGACTGGAAACGAATCGCATGTACACGACCTATCAGATCGACTACTGCGACGTCAAGGAGTATCCCGAGGGCATCTACGAGAGCTTGAAGCCCAACGACGAGGCATCCAAGATCAAATCTGACAAGCTAATGGCGGATAAGGCGCCGTGCTCTGAGTTCCGTTCGGATGTGATGAAACAGTTAGAGCGCGAAAACGCCACCGGCTATGAAGTGAAGGCCGACGAATGTGAACAGGCGTACAAGCCATTCCAGGCAACATTCTCGGACTCTGCGCAGTTCGTCAACTCCGGCAATAACTCGCATTGGAAGACGGCGTCCAGCACGTTCAGCAAGTCGCCCAACTTCTCAGAATATATGGACTCGATCAGTCGCAACGGCTGCATCATAATGCGCAACAAGCTGCACGATCACTCCAAATGCTTGGCGAACCATTGCAGGCACGAGATTCGGTTCAACTGCACCGACATGAAGCCTTAAGCCTTGTTGTGTGTTGCGTTTCGTTGTTCCCAAGCTATCTCTACACTGTATCCTGTCATTTATGCAAATCCCCAGTGTCCAAATAAACTGAAAACAAAAAAAAAACAACTAAGTGATATTATCATTACCTCCAGATAGCGCAGCACATCACGGAAGGTGGCACGCTGTGCCTTGCGATCGCGCTTGGCGCGATATTTGTGCGAATCGGTGGCCAGCTGCTTGACAGCGTCACACAGGTCGCCGATGTCCTCCTCCAGGAAGTTCTCATCATGGGCACGACCGGACTCCAGAATCAATGCGATGGTCTCGCCAGCGGCCATGCGTACATCCAAATGTGGAGATTGCAATAGACCCAAGAACTTTTTGATAGACCTGCAACGGGCAATCGATTAGTCGCTGCTCCTTAACCATCAATTCTTCACAATAGCTTACGGAAATTTGTGTTGTCCAGAAGTCATCAGGGAAACGAAATCGCCCGAGGGCACGAGAGTCAGCAGCAAACCCCAGGCGGACAAAGCCTCAGCATGAAGAGTTCCTGCCTCGGCAGTGACAGAGATGGGTGACTTGTCGTCGCCGCGCAAATAGCTGCCGGCAAAGATGGTCTCGAAGAACTGCATCAGCTGGACTAGTGCACCGATATCCTCGCAGTCCAGAAAGTTGAGCAAACCAAGGGCGGCACAGCACTTGGCGCGAGCATCATAGTTAACCGATTTATCCTGCACGGTGGTCAGAAGGAACTGGTTCATTGTCTTCGACAAGCCCTCCTCGCCACCCAGTTGCAGCACTAGGAGTGGGGCCAAACGTGCGCCCCACACTTGCTCCTGACCCTTGCCGCGGCGCACGCTCTTCTCCACAAAGTCCATGAGTGTCATTTTGCGATCCTCTACGAAGTCGGGCATATAACGATGCATCAGCAGCTCGCAGATGGCCTGCAAGGCCTGAATGCGGGTCTGGGCCGATTTCTCGGTAGCCTGTTCCAAAGCCTTTTCGAATTTCTCCTCGAAGCGCTCATTGGCCAGATCTTCGGCAGCCTCTGAAGAGGCGGCCTCCGAGACATGCGAATAAACGCTCACATTGTCAAAGGACTCGTCCTCTGAGTTCGAGTCGTTGATGCGGCCTAAAAATAAATAAATGAGGGAGAAAACAGGCGAATGGTTATATCTGCTAGTTGGACATAAATTTTAATTAATAACATAAATTTTGTCTTCGCCGCGCAAACTATAAAAAAACTGGACTGTTTGAATGGCATTGCTGTTAGCTGTTAATGTTCTTTTACATAACAAAATTTAAAGCTATACTACCTACATATGTTAAAGTTTGAAGCAAAACTGTTAAGTGACACGGCATTCGCTGTTAAACTTGTCTATTGCTGCTCAAACTGTTCACGTATTTATTGC